AGACTCAACCATTAGGGGGGAAAAATAGCTGATTTTTCATCAGGTTCTCTAAGGCAAGCAAAATAGGACATTTTCAGAGAGAACTTCCAAAGCTTCCAGGAGTCATTTGGGCAAATCATATTAGTAATCCAAGCATGCTGGACACAGTTTTCATCGAGGAGCCATCATATTGTAATCCAGGAGAATCTAATTCTGATGGTAAATGTCTGACAGCGTTTCTTTAGAGATTACAAAAGATCAAAGCCATCAAACTCACATGGAAGGAGAAGTCTTTAATTGTTTCATAGAGCTCCCCAGAATTTGAAAAAAAAAACACTCATTGCTGGAAATTCGCCTTCATGCCTGAATTGACACTAACTGAAGCCCTGCAGTTATATTTGACAGGACTGAAGAGCCCTCTACCGGCAGCTGGAGTGAACTGTTCTGTGTAACTTCTGAAAAGTTCAATTATGAATTAATTACATCTAATTGCCCATGACCTCAAACTATCTGTGGGTAATTTAAATGAAGGCTTTTCATTGCTAAATGAAAATTAAAAGAGCAAAGGATACCATTCTTCATTAACAAATTGGCAAAGAGTTTTTTATTGTTAATACTTGTTCAGGAGAGGCATGTAGAAAAACAGATCCACTTACCTACGGCTGGAGAGAGCATAAGCAGAGAATTTCCAGGAGGGCAGGTTGACAATGTGGGTGAAAACGTGAACAACACAAGCCTTGAGACCCAGCAGCTGCGGGTGTGGCCTCGTTCTAAGGGAATGACCCATCATGTGCCCCCAAAACTGTTTAATTTTGTAAGAAGGCAGAAACCTCCCAAAGGTTCAGAAACAGGAGGTTCACTCAGTAAATTATGGGACTTCATGTTAAAATCATGTTGGAGACGTAAATTTCATATTGGGTGATCCAGAATGTAATGCAGTGTTTGAGGCACAATCTCATTTTGGCAAATATGCATGTCGAAGATGGTCTGTAAAGACAGGAGATGTTTGACGATTCACTTGAACGGAGGAGGCAGTGTGTTGTCTATGTGTCTGAATATGTATTCTGAAAATTTTGCTAATGAATACTGCTCTTGCAGTAACAATAAGAAAGGACCAAATTTCCACGAATTTCCATGTTTTCAAAGTTTGATCTGTCTGCCCCTAGTATCTGCAAATATCCCTAGTCTCAGAGACGTGCAGCCTGCGCCAGCACCATCCGTCCCCGCCTCCCCCCAGGGAAGGGGGGAAGCCCTGCTCCCTCCAGGGTCATCCTCTCCTGACTCTCCTCCCATCCCGCACAACCTCAGGTCTCCATGCTCCCCATCCTTCTGAAAGAACGCTCTCTGTCTCAGTCTCTGGCCATTCACACTTCAGCCCCCTCTCACCTGGCTTCTGTCCCCTCCACGCCCTGCCAAGGCCACCAGTGGCCTCCAGAATGCCAAACCCTCGGGCCAACACTGGCCACTGTTGCCCACTGCCTTCCTGCGCCTCTGACCTCCCTGGGCTCAGGGGACGGCACTCTCTTCTGTGCCCTTTGTTCTCTCTGGCACTGCTCTTCCCTCTCAGCCTGAGCCTTCCTGCTGAATCGGTGCCTGAATTCACCCTTGGCCCTACCCCCCAGCCCGTGCTGGGCTCATCCACTCTCCTCCGTCACTTGTGAGCCCCCACCATCCATTCCCACATGCCCACCAACAACGTTCCCAGGTCCCCGGGAACAGCTGCCCAGCCCGTCATGCCTCACACACCCACCGGAGGAATTTTTCTAGAACATGACTAGGATCAAAGTTCTTCATTCAAGTCCTTACAGACTCTCCACAGCTTCCAGGATAAAAGCAAGCTCCATAGCATGGTGACAGCCTTGGTGATGCCTCTGTGACCCCGAGCAGCCCCATGAGGGCACACTTAGCCCTGTGCCCTGGCTCCTGTCCCCAGCATGGCCAGTTCGTCCCCTGCTTTAGGCTCTGTGATCTTCTAGGGACCACTAGAAGCTCTGCTCTAACCTTTATCTGTGATCTCCATTCCTGGTCGCCAGCCTGACCCACATCTCCTTCTTTCTGTCATTAGTGATCCTTGCTGACACCCCATTTTCCTTGGCCCCCCTCACAAGCTGCCCTCCCTGCCCACGGGCAGGGCCTAGAGGGCAGGGAGCCCAGCACTGAGCACAGCACCTGGCACGTCAGAGCTCCTCCGCAAGCACTAATGAAGGGAGACATGTGAGAACAGCTCTCATTCTGGGCTCAAAACAGTAAAGCCAATCTTTGTCTCCCACGACAGCCTTTTGACTATTTGAAAACAGCTCGTTTCCCCCTTGAGTCTTCTTTTCTCCAAGGAAAAGTCTCATCCCTTAGACAGTTCCTAGTGGGAGAGGCTGTCCGCATGGGGGTGCCCAGTTTCCGTGCCTCTCTTCTCTCCCCGGAGCTTAGCACGGCTGCCAGGTGTCCTCCAGCCAGCTCGTGACTGCAGAAGGTCAGGAAAATGGAAAATGCGTGCTCAGGAGGACAAGACAGTAATGGTTTTAGAGTTCTTCCTGCTGGAATGACAGGGGACAGAGAAGGAAATGGGCTAAGGGGAATGAGATGCTTTTGACCGGGCATCTTGTCTACCATGGGGTCACGGCCGTGTGACTCCGGGTTAATAGAAGGTCCGGGGGCGTCAGGCAGACCCATGTCTGACTCCGGGTTCCAACATTTCTCCAGTGCTGGTGCACATGTGACTCCCCCCAGCAGTGACCTCGTATATAAAGGGGGAGATGCTGGGACGTGCTTGGCATGGGCTGGGGCACACGACAAGTGAGGACAGCAATGATGGTGTGGCGATCCAGGCACTTGGCACACGATTATTCCTTGTATTGTTATCGTCGAAGCACTCGCTGGGGAAACATCTTCTGCTTCATTTGATAAGAACTGAGCCCTTCCAAACCACGTCCCCACCAAGGTCCTCCACACAGCCCCATGGGCCCCAAAGTAGGTGGACGGTCCTGTCAAAGCCATTCCTTAACAGGTGCAGGTGCAAACTTACAGAAAGTGCGTAATTTCCCAACGAGCTCCGACGGCGCAGACAAGTTCACGGGACAATTGTTAGCAGGCACATTCAAGGCAACACTGTGACCAAAACAATTTTAAATCAGGTGCTGGAAGTAAGACAGCTGGTGTTGAAATTATCCCAAGCTAAGGAGACTCCTGCATTCAGGACCCTCGGTGTTGCTTACTTGGTTAGAAGCAGAAGGAGAGAAGTCACACGGAATTTCTTGGTGCTCACATGTGCAATTCCCATTAAGAAAAGCAGGCTGTGGAAACCTGCAGCTTGCCAAGTGGACACGGGAGGGGGGAGGCCCGCTGCCCCGGCGAGCACACGATTAGCCAAGGACCCTAGACAACGGTTTATGTGAAAACTGCTGCTTTCTGTTCCGAAGCTACGATTTTTCAGAGGGCGTGAAAAGAATAAGATTTTGCCTTTGTCATTATAAAGTGTCTCTTTTCTAAGAAGCTTAAAACCCAGCATCTCATTTTCTTATTTTCTTTGGGGGCTGGAAGTAGGGAAGCTTTGGACTTAAAATAGCTTGTAGCAGAACAATGCTTCCGTGGAGCCCGCCCTCTGCAGCAGGCCGGCCACATTGTAAAGTCGGGGGGCCGACGGCAAGGAGCCCAGAGAACAGACAGCTGCGGAGGGGGGCCCAGGGTCTGGCTCGCGTACAGGAGGGAACCTGTGGGCATGGCCGTGCTTCCAGCGGACTCTGCAGCCGGCAGGCTGGTCTTGCGTCCTGCTTCTGCCACTCTCCAGCTGTGTGAACTTGGACCAGGTCCCTTCACGTCTTCCCGCTAAGTTTCACCATCTGTAAAACCTGGTTGAGCAGAGTGGCGTAGCGTAGCGTGAACGAGTTGTCATCAGGTGGAGGGCGTGCTGGTTCCATGCTGCGTCAGCGTTGGCCCCGATGGTGTGACGCGTGTGGCCCCGGCCAGCACACGGCCGCTCGCTGACTCGCCGTGATGATCACACCCCGCCACGCCACCTAGGAACCGGGATTACGACCTGCGATCCTGGATTCTTAAACTCTGTGGCTCTGTGTCTAAAAATTAAGGCCTACCAGACAGCGGCCGGCTAGTCCTGCTTCCTCTCTGAACGTGCTGGTGAGCGTGGGGCCGTGAAGGCACACGGCCCAGGGGTCAGACTGGCACCGGGATCAAGTTCCACGCACTCCTGTCTTCAAGCGTGCGTAATCCGCTTCCCCCGGCACCTAATGCTGCAGGAACGGACATGGCCATGGTGCACCTAGTGATTTTTCCGTCATTTATTAAATGCCTGGCTTGGTTAAAACTCACGCCTGCTGACTTAATGATGGTTTAAGAAATACAAAAATAGGAGTACATAACGCTATATTTGCTGTGGCCGGAGACGGCTTTTATCTGTCACAATTTTGCACAAAGCACAAATTGTTGCAAAAATACCCAAACTTTGCTATCGTGGGGGCGCTTTGAAGAGATTGTTCGGTGAGTGGCAATTATTCACAGGCCCACGGTAAGGCCCAGCGCTGGCGCGAAGCCCTGCCCGCCGTGGAGGGGCTCAGAGCCACCTTCCAGGCAAAACCTCGGCCACAAAGGCTCAGCCGCACATCGGCGAACAAATAGCGTCACGGGGGCCCCTTGTGCTGAAACAGCTTTTCTCGTGATGAGCGAGTCTGAATGAACCTGGGAGCAGCAAGTAGGCTGTAATTAAAACTCAAGGCCCAAATGTCCGATTGTTTGCAGCAGAACATGACTGGCTTATTTCAAGCCAAACTAATTTGAGGCTCCGGGTCCGAGGGCAGAATGGGCAGCACGGGTGTGTGTCCCACCCCGAAGGTGGGACAGGAGACAGGGTGGTGCCCCTGCCCTGTTGTGCAGGAGGGGTGCGGTCATGCCCTGGAGCCCCTCCAGGCCCCCCCAACCCCCCAGAGCCATCTCGGGGAGCCACCAAGTCCTGCTGTTTGTTGGGGACCAAGAGAGAAATGCATTTATAGCCAAGTCTCTCCTTCTCCTTGCAGGTGGCCCGGGAGCTCCAGCCCTCCGTGGTATGGATCGGAGACACAGAAAAAACCTTCTACAAGAAAGTCCCCAGTGCAGAAAGGATGGTGAGAGCTTCTAGATCTTTTTCCATTTGGCCTTTTCTGTCCCCCTCCGAGGGGACTCTTACCGGGGACTGTCTTCACTTTTCAAGAACGTCTTCTTTAAGGGAGGAAGGGAATGAAGGGGCAGCTGTCTCTCTCTGCCCTATACATGTCTGTATTTGAAAAACTTCAGTGGTCTGATTTTATGAGGAATAATTTAGGGGAAAAAAAATGAAGGAAATTATGGAAGGAAGGGGGAGGAGGAGCTTTGGACCCAAACATGTGACTCAGAGGTAAGAAACAATTCAGAGAATTTTCCTTGGTTAAAGCAAATGGCACACATAAGGGTTATTATTAGGATTTCCTATTGTTCATAATAATAAATAGAAAAGGCCTGAAATTTATGAACAAAGACCTTCGACAGAACTGCTAAGTGCCTACATTTGGGGCCCCCGGGGAGCCCACTCTCAACTGCTTCCTTCCTTCGTTTCTCTCCTTTAGAAGGCCCCCCTCCCCCGAACTTCCCCCCACAAATCACCAGCAAATTTCCCACAAGTAAAAAAAAATTTGCAGATACACATGATTGTTATTCCACATCAATTTGCACCAAAGCAAATAGTGGTTAACTGTGAATTTCTGATTAAAGTCATAAGGATTTTAATCACTCTCGATCCTTATGCATTATACATCATTTTTAGCAGGTAGAGATGATTTGGATAAAGAATGAAAGCTCCATCTTTTCTTCCCCAAATGAGCCTTGATTGCCCTGTCATTTCAGGAACTCTTAAGAGGACTCATTCATTATTAAATCCGGGAATCTGGGAGTTCGCTCCCTCTGCTGGCCAAGTTGCTACATTGAAGAAAGTCCCCACGTATGAACACCTGAAGGCAGGCGTTACTATGAGCCAGATCAGAAATCTAAAGAGGCGTGCGGGGCGTGTGTAATCCAAGGTGTCACACACCCGACGTCATCAGAAACCTTGTCTTAATGGGCAAGCGCTCCTCACGCCCCCACTGGTCATCAGCCTGGGGAGTAGGGGACGTGGGTTCCGGGCTCACTCTGCCATTCACCTGAGCAGGCTGTGTGTCTGTGAGCAAGTAACTCAACCTCTCTGAGCACCCACTTCCTTAACAACTTAACTAAAGGGTTCCAGAGAGCACAGCCTCCAGTTCATGGGGCGCCCCTAGCATTCTCTGCCATGACCCCCTCAGGCTGTGGCTTTGCTATCAGCAGTTACAGCGTCTGCACCCCAGAGTCTGTGGGGAACAAGGCGAACGCAAAATGCTCATTTGTAAGAGAGCCAGAGGAGCCCTGGGGGCAGGGCTGATGGTGGGGAATGAAATACGGGCTCGGCAGACACCTCCCACAAAGGGAGGCCTTGTGCAGGGCAGGCGGCTGGCAAAGGCCTCCCGCCTGGCCTGGCCCTACTGTTGCTGATCCCAAGAGACTCAGCCCAAGCTCCAATTCCCACAAACATAGCCATGGGCTAGTGTTATTCCGGTAAGAAATGAAGGCCTTTGGTGGCAGAGTCTTTGCAGTGGACAAATCGGACCTTTGTTCTGTCCAGCTCCTCATTAGAAGAGTCTGTCATCTGTCAGGGGAATTAACGGTGCTGAAGAGCATGAATCACTTCCCTGGATAATTCCCAGAACACCTGAGGGTCAGCAAACAGAAGAGCTCCTTGGGTTCCCAAACGTCCTGAGCCATCCCACACAGACAGAGCTGCAGGGGGGTGGGGTGATCACTGAGTGCCTCCTCCAGCTGTACATGGGAAGAGGTGTCCCCGCTCACCCCCCAAGTCCTGCCCCTCAGGCTGCCCCTGCTGCCTTCCTGGAATTCCGGGGTCAGGGCTGGACCACCTCTGGTCTCCTTCCCCACACCCAGCCTCTGACTTAGGCTCTTACCAAGTCCCTCAGCCACCAAGGCCGGAGCTGTCTGGAGCATTGTCCACCTGCCTTCTGAAGGTAGCCACCAAAAGCCAAGGGCAGCACCTGCATCCACAGGTGACAGGAAAGCCGGAGGCATCACAACCAGGTTCTCATTGCTCCCTTGGCCACCCCTGGGAAAGCCAACAGCCTTCCTTCTACCATGGTCCAGCCTCTGTCCCAAAGGTTCCACGATCCCAAAGACACTGAGGCACAGAGAAGAAGGTCCATCTGCAAAGAAACTAGGAGGCTGCCAAGCCCATCACCCACAGCTACAACACAGACCCCCCCCCCCCCCCCCCCCGCCTGCCCTCTGCCACCCCGCAGTGGCTGCCGCCTGCATTGGAGGGATTCCAGAATCTCCCTTTAGGAAAAAAGTCTCACTCACAGTGACTTACTCCCTGCTTGATGCCTCAACCTTTAGGTTAAGGATCCCAAGGTGGTGAAATGTATGAGAATCACCCAGTCATCAGCAGCAAAGCAAGAAAGAAGTCCAGGCTGACCGCGATGGCTACTGAGCTTGGCTCTGCCCTGGGAAGCTGAGCTCCCTGGTGCAGGGACCCCAGGCCCAACACCTAGGACAGTTGTGAAAAGGAAGAGGTTCCCAGGGGTACAACTCCTATCAACTCCTATGTCAAGGAAGCTTCCAGCAACTCTGAGAAGGAAGCCGTTTTCCCCTGTTTTGCACAAGAGGACAGAGGTTCCAAGGGAGCCACAGTGTGTTGGGGATAGTGCTGGGACCCAGAAACAGGTTTGTCTGAATGCAGAGGCCAAGCCCTTCTCCCCATTTGGATGGCGCTCCCAGCTGGGATGCCCTTGAGTGCCAGGCATTCTACCTTCCTGCATGCTTCCACCCACAACGTGGACACCCATATCTGCCCACCACACCTCCTCAACCCCCGGGCCACTCCAGACCACATCCTGAAAACTGCCTGTGGGGCCCTCTGGTCCTAGAGACGAGATGCCCTGCTCCAGAGTTCCCGCACTCCTACCCACACCCTCGTCCTCTCCTGTTGTCCTCCACACCCTGAAAAGTACTTCACCTCTAGAATTTCGGCAATGTCCAAGCTCCCAGCAGGCCCCACCCCGGCCACTCTCAGGAACAGCCGCCCAGACAGACACCTGGACGCAGCCCGCTTCCTTTCTCCTCCTCCTGGGAGCATCTTCTCCACCATCTGCGGCTCACACTCAGCCGGGCAGGTGTCTGTGGACGAGGCGAAGGTAGTAAAGAATGAGACCAGACAGGCTGCGGCGGCATTTTCTGCACCATTACCCTTCGTCACTCCATCGAGCAGGAGCCTTCCCGACGTCGCAACAGGCCTCCCTGAGGGACGCTCCTGCTTTGCTGGAGCTGGCTGCAGTAGGGTTTTGTGGAGGCCGACTGCGGAACAGCAAACGGAAATTGCTGTGTGGATGCTAAGCCCTAATGTGAGACTGCCCCCTGCGGGGACTGGCAGGACCGGCCATAGAGGCGGTGGCTGTGGAGGTCGCCGGGTGACTGTGGGGATGTTGGCTGGTGTGATGGATGGGCGCCAGGGTCTCGTGCATAATGGACAGGCCTCTGAACTGGAACAGGGGTGGCCCGGGTGCAGGGGAGTGCTGATTGAACAGACTCGCCTTTCATTCTCACCCCCTCCTAATGAGACTACGCCTCACCATCAGCAAGGATGTCACCCTAGATGCGGCCCAGGATCAACATTTGTTATCCAAACAGGCTAATTAAGTGCAGGTGTCCCTGCCATTTCAGGACGTGCAGGTAACAATATCACCTGCCTCCGAACAGGCAGACGGCCCTACCATCACCATGGCAACTAGGCTGCTGGGGATGGGCTCAGACCACACAAGCATGTCTCTCACCACACAGAGTGGCAGTCTCCAGCATCACTGGGGCCCTGGGATCAGTCCTGCTTCCACCAGCCTTTGGGCAGCCCCCACATGCGCCCCGCACATCCCAGTCACCCCTGACATCTGCTTTGTTCTCCATCAAGCTTCTTAAAAGACCAATCCGTTGTCACCATCCCCGCTCACTCCTCAACCCACCACCATCTGTTTGCTACCTTCCAACTCCTTAGAAACTGCTCTCAAGGAGTTTTTCTTTGACATCCATTTTGCCAGCAAACACTTTGGTTCACTTGCTCTCCCTTTATGCCACGTTCAAGATGGTTAAATTCCACTATTTCGAAAAATTCTCTCTTCCCTTAACTTCCGTAGCCCTGGCCTCCTCATACCCCACCAACACTTTTTTCTGTGTCTCCTCCTGTGTCTTCTGTATCTCCTTCTGTGTCTTCTGTGTCTTCTTGAGTTTCCATCCCAGGCCTGCGGCCCCTTTCTCTCCCCTTGCCCTCCTTGGGCACCATCTCATGGCTTGAAAAATCACACCCAAACCAGTGACTGCCCCACCCCATCCCCAGCCCAGGGCTCTCCCCTGAGGCTCAGGTGCCTGCATCCTTGGGGAACCTCCCGTACGGTGCTGCAAAGCCCGCCAAACTCTCCTCCCTCACTACCCACCACCCAAACTGCCACTGCTCCTGCATTTGCAAAAGGTTGGTTTTATTTAAAATAACCACTCTTCATAAGAGGGCTTTGGATTCACTCTGGTAAAATGAACCCTGAATATCACCAAACTCTCTAAGCCTCATCCAAATGCAGTAGGATATTTCCTGGCATAGATATAGATATTCCTATGAGGTCTCTTCTTCCAGAATCTCAGCAGAGGGCTTTCTTCAGCAGCATGGAGCCCAAAGGCAGTTTCTCAGAGCTAAGTAGATGAAGAATTATCATTTACCATAATGGAAACCGATGGGAGATTTTTAGACAGTCATTTTGAGCTCTGTTGGCAAATTGCTAGTTTCCTCCAAATAGCAAAGCCCCCAGCTTTTCTGTCTCTTAAAAACCTTGCTCTTCAGTAGAGCAGACCTGGCATTGTTTCCTACCAGCACTTATACTGCAGAATAAGACACCGATTATCCCTTAGTAAGCACTTTGTCAGACAGACACATTATGCCATGCAATCCTCACAGCATCCCTGTCAGCTAGGCTCTATAATTATCCCCATTTCTCAGATGTAGGGACTAAGGCTCAGAGAAATTGAGCAATCTGCTCAAGGTCACACAGCTGTTAAGAGCAGAGCCAAGACTGCGATCAAATATGTCTGAATCAAAATCTATGCATTTAGCTATTTGCCATACCATCTGCCTATTATTATGGAGTTTCTTCCCTGGGTTTTGTTTTGTTTTGTTTTGTTTTTTGTTTTTTTGGTGGGGAGGGGAGGGAGTTTGCACATAGCCTGGCCCCCAGGTTAAGTTCAGCATCAAAGTAAAGGCCCAACAAACACCACTCCCTGGCCCAGGACAGCCCAGAGGCTGAGTCTGAGAGATGGCAGGTTTCTGCAAAGACCTGGGGTGGGGATTAAGGAACAGCCTTTTCATGAGCAAGTCTTCATCCTTATTGTCAGAGCTGTCCATTTCTAGGATTCCAGGAAGTCTCATTCCATTATCCCTCTCCTGTGCTTTCCCCTCTTTTAAGCTCCTCTGTTCTCCTGGGTGGAGTCATACAGGGCCATTGCTTCCTCCTGGTGGAGCTGAAGCAGGCTCCAGATTCCTGTGGGTGCAGGCGGAAATGATAGGAAGATGCCTGGTGGTCTGGCCTCAGGCCCAGCCTCTGGGATTTATTTTGCTGTAAAAATTCCATCTCTTTCTCTGCTGTGAATTACATTATAAAAAGTTTCCTCTAAACTGACTCCAACAACATAGAAAAAGGATTATACACCATGACCAAGTGGGATTTACCCTGGGTTTAACATCCAAAAATCAATTAATGTAATACACTACTATGTCATTAGAAGAAAAGACAAAAACCATCTCATCTCAATGCATGCAGAAAAAGCATTTGACAAAAATCCAGCACCCCTTCATAATAAAAGACTCAACAACATAGGAAGAGAAAGGAACTTCCTCCACCTGATAAAGGGCAACTACAAAAAATCCACAGCTAACAAACAACAAAAGACTGTATGCTTT